GGAGAAGATATTTGCAAGTGACATATCAGATAAAGGGCTAGTGTCCAAAATCTATAAAGAACTTAGCAAACTCAACACCCAAAGAACAAATAATCCAGTCAAGAAATGGGCAGAAGACAGGAACAGACATTTCTGCAAAGAAGACATCCAGATGGCCAACAGACACATGAAAAAGTGCTCCACATCACTCGGCATCAGGGAAATACAAATCAAAACCACAATGAGATATCACCTCACACCAGTCAGAATGGCTAAAATTAACAAGTCAGGAAATGACAGATGCTGGCGAGGATGTGGAGAAAGGGGAACCCTCCTACACTGTCGGTGGGAATGCAAGCTAGTGCAACCACTCTGGAAAACAGCATGGAGGTTCCTCAAAATGTTGAAAATAGAACTACCCTATGACCCAGCAATTGCACTACTGGGTATTTACCCTAAAGATACAAACGTAGTGATCCGAAGGGGCACGTGCACCCGAATGTTTATAACAGCAATGTCTACAATAGCCAAACTATGGAAAGAACCTAGATGTCCATCAACAGACGAATGGATAAAGAAGATGTGGTATATATACACAATGGAATACTATGCAGCCATCAAAAGAAATGAAATCTTGCCATTTGCAATGACGTGGATGGAACTAGAGGGTATCATGCTTAGCGAAATAAGTCAATTGGAGAAAGACAACTATCATATGATCTCCCTGATATGAGGAAGTGGAGATGCAACATGGGGGGGTTAAGGGGGTAGGAGAAGAATAAATGAAACAAGATGCGATTGGGAGGGAGACAAACCATAAGTGACTCTTAATCTCACAAAACAAACTGAGGGTTGCTGGGGGGAGGGGGGTTGGAAGAGGCGGGTGGGGTTATGGACATTGGGGAGGGTATGTGCTATGGTGAGTGCTGTGAAATGTGTAAACCTGGCGATTCACAGACCTGTACCCTTGGGGATAAAAATATATTATATGTTTATAAAAAATAAAAAATTAAAAAAAAAAACCAAAGAAATTGGCATGCCTTGGTGGCTGCATAGCTAGCCAGAGGCTCATACTGGCCTGGCAGTAAGCACAGCTCCAGCTAAAAGCAGGTGCTGGACTCAAGACTCCCAGAGCCCCCAGGGAAACACACTCCCTGGGTGCAGTGGGAGGAGGGTCCTCATCTATGTCTCGGGCCCAGTTTGTGACCCAATCACAAAATCTCTCCTCCTTTCTCCTAGCAACCTGCGTCGACCATTCATGCATGCCTCTTCCATGAAGCCTTCCTGGAATGCTGCCCCTGTCCCAGTCTCTAACTCCCAGTTCATGTGTCCAGGTTACCTCCTGAACATGTCTGCACCTCCTGCCTCTCTTCCTTCACCTAAATATGCCCCTTAACTCCACCAGTTACCTTCATTCAAACCCTAGACCAAATGGCACCTATTCACGGAAGCCTCTCTTAGCTTCTCCAGCCAGAGATAATTCTGCACTTCTCTGTGCTCTCCAAGGCATCTCTCTTATGAGGCAGTATATGCAATGACCTCTTTACTGGTGTCAAATCCTGTCTCCACCACTTATTGGCAGTGTGACCTTGCACAAGTTACTAAGCCTTCCTGTACCTCCATTTTCGAAATGGAGATAATCCTGGTTAATAGCTTTTTCCAAGGGTTATTATAAGAATTAACTGAAAGGCTGCATGCAAAGTACTTAAAAAAGCACCTTGAGCAAAGCAACTGCCCAATAGGCATTAGCTTCCTTTGGTTATTTTAGCCCTGGCTGTGGGCTTAGCACTATGGTGATTTGGGCATCTGTCTCTGTCTCTGTTCATAGGATATTTGCAAGCTCCTCAGAAGCTTGCACACCAACACTAATAATTTCATAAATACCCAACTAAATTATGCCCTATGGTTTTTAGAAAATTTAATTAACTAATTAATTAATTTTTAAAATATTTTATTATTTATTTGACAGAGAGAGATCACAAGTAGGCCGAGAGGCAGAGCGAGAGGGGGAGGCAGGCTCCCTGTCAAGCAGAGAGCCCAATGTGGGCCTCGATCCCAGGACCTTGAGATTATGACCTGAACTGAAGGCAGAGGCTTAACCCACTGATCCACCAAGGTGCCCCGCCCTATGCTTTTTAAATGTACTTCGTATTATGGAAAAAGTCCGAGATCTGCAAGAGTAGAGTGGAATCTCATGTCCCCAACCTAGGCTTTAACAATTACTAACCTATGACAATGTTTTTTCCTGTATTTGCCCACTCATTCTTTTTCCTCCTGCCTCAAGCCCTACATTATACTGAAGAAAATACCAGGCAAATATTTCACTCAGGGAATTTTTAATAAACGTACCCTATACTCATGGAAAGGATGCTATATTCAACGTCTCGTTGTGCCAAGAAGGAATTATCTCCAGGACAGACCCAGCGTTTTGGACCACAGATCCTCTCAGTGCTGTGGGCAAGAACTTCGACCCACCTTCTTTCCAGAAGCATTGCCAATAGTAATTATGTTTTGAGAGGTTACAGTTTGAGTGGGTACCATCTGGTCTTTGTAATAACAAACCATGGTGGACAAGGATCTTCAAGCATGACTTGATAATTGGGAAAAGCCCCATTTATAGGTCAGAGTGGGTCCTGGGTCTTGCATCAGTGGCTTCCTAACAGGCCAGAATCATACGTGCTGACTCATGAAATGGTGTCTCAGGCACTTGGACACTCAGGAATATTCGCCACTGACAGTGAAGAATTGTATTGTAGTAAGCCCTGATCAGTCCTTGTTAGAAGATTTTAGTCAGTTTCAAATTGAACTTTCAAGAGCAAGTTTGCCAGTGGAAACACTTCTAATAGAAGCCATCTCTGTTTTTTCCTTATTTGTGTATTTAAAGTATATTCTTACAACACATTCCACAAGAAGACTTGCTTGGGGAGGTTGTGTTTGGGTTCAGAAAATGGGATGTAGCGGGGTGGGGATGAAAACCATTGTGTTGGTTGTATTTTTGTAACTGAATCAATCAGTCAAAGATTAATTTCATATCTACTGGCTGTTATTGTGTGGGTGATTGATACTCAGCCATGCTGAAGTCAGGCGCTCCTTCTTGGTCCTTCTCCATGCGATGTTCCAAACCATCATCCCCAATTATGTCTCACCTCTGACTTAGTGACATCTATTTGGTAATTTCACATCCCTGTGTCTGGAAATGGTTTATTTGCTCAGGGTATGTCAGGATCTATGGTTATAAGTCATGGAAGGTATGAGACACTTCATGTCAGAAGTTCTCAGACCTTTTTGATACATCCTCATTCCCTAAACACACTTCCAAACACTGCAGGATCATTTTAAAGCAGCTTTGGAAGTTGATAAAGAGTAAACTGTGTTATTGGACACCAGAGATGATCTTTTTAAAATGTTGCAAATTTGGGGCGCCTGGGTGGTTCAGTGGGTTAAAGCCTCTGCCTTCAGCTCAGGTCATGATCTCAGGGTCCTGGGATCAAGCTCCGCATCGGGCTCTCTGCTCGGCAGGGAGTCTGCTTCCCTCTCTGTCTCTGCCTGCCTCTCTGCCTGCTTGTGATCTCTGTCAAATAAATAAATAAAAATCTTAAAAAAATAAATAAAATGTTGCAAATTTAATTGTTTTTTTTTCTTCTTTATTCTTTTCTGTATTTTCTATAATCTCCAAGCCCCCAACTCATGTGCACTTACTGCGCCCCAGACATACACTGATCAACTTGTTAACTGTAAGGACAGAGTCTGAGCTGCCTGGGCCACTGGGGACCTGTCCCTGGCTACCCTCTGGCTGTCATGTTTTCTGTCTTTTATAATAAAAGTGATGCTTATTAAAGAATGGTACAATTTGGATTTAGAATCATGTCTGAAGCTTGGATTCAAGCATTGGCTCTGATACATACTAGTTGTTTGACCAGGAAGTCATGCAACCTTGCCAACCAACCCCCTCCCCACTTTTAAAAAAATCACGGAACAGAGAATGACAACGTTTGTTTTATCTACATGAGTTTGCCATGGGAAGTAAGAGCGTGTTCACATATTGTTAAACCATTAATTGAAGTTCATACGTTTTCATGAATTTCACCCAAGAACATCAATAATAAGCAAGCACTAGGTTTGAAACTGTATTGATTCTGAAGGGGCAAGTCACTCATCTCTATTTCTTGATATTTCTTATAAACAATCAACCATCTAGGCAAGAATTTTACTTAGAGAAAAGAGACTACATATTTACATGTTTGGAAGCAGGAGAGGCTGAAGAAAAGGCACAACTTGGGATGGACCATGGAGTAGTTCAACTGACAAGATGCCAACCAATACTTCAACCCTCTGAGTTGATAATATTGCCTTATATATTTGAAAGTGACTAAGAGACCAGATCTTAAAAGTCCTCATCACTACAAAAAATATTTTGTGTTACTAGGCATGGTGTCAGGTACCAACTAGATTTAATGTAGGGATCATTGTGTAATATATGCAAATATCAAATCACTATGTTGTATACCTGAAATTAACATAATGTTATGTATCGATCGTACCTCAATTAAAAAAATACTTCAAACCTTTGCCGATAATGCTTGCTGTTTAGTTGAAGAGAACTATTTGAACTCTTACGAGGTTACAGCAGAAACACTTTTCAAAAACATTTGGACACAGAGCAGAGAGGCACAATAGTTCTCTTCAATAGATCAAGTGAAATGAGTGTGTCTTAAATCATCTTGTGGTAGGTTGAAAAAAGGATTTCTCATTATTTTTACTTTCTGCTATCTTTAATAAAGTGGCAAATAACTTCCAATTCAAGAGAAGAAAAGAATCAAAAGTCAATTTTAGAGGAATGCTGCCGTATTAATAAAATCTAAGAATTTAGAGAATGTAGCTACGAAGGAGAAAAATCACAATATAATTTAGTGAAGCAGGGAGATTAATCTTGTTGGTGATGCTCAAGCTTTAAAAACAAAGCAGCGTCAAATAAAACCCCCAAATCTAAAGTCAAAGACAGCCCACAAGGCCCAGTTTACCTGTTGAACCAGTCATCTGTGTACCGAGGGTAAGGATAGGGGTCATTGCCGCTGAAGTCATAGCTTGCCTCGGCGTTCTGAAAAACACAAGGTTTCTCATTAATTCAATCAAGCCAGATATTGAGGCAAGAGAAAAAGCTGCAAGACATGACTGTTTTATGGTTACAGGCCCTCTGTGGAGTGCTTTGTTAATGTTCCGCTCTGGACCAGCCCTCACCAAATGGTGCCAGAGCTGGTGGGTCCTTGGATCTCTCTGTTCTCCCTTTATGCTTTCCAGGGTTCCTCACCCCATTCTAATTCAGACCTTCCAAGAACCGGCAAATTGGAGTCTTAGGCTCTCCAGTACTGCTTCTGTTTTAAGTCGCCACCTGTGGGTAAATGAGGTTCACCTGGGATCTAGGACGTATATGTCCTTGGATTGATGGTCAAAAGGTTCGAGATCTTATGTCACAAGTGAGGCAACCTCTGGAGTTTTCTTGCTTTATGCAGAAGGCTCGCTCCCAGCTCCCAGCTTCAGACTGACATAGGCTTGTTTCCTTTATCCTCATGGGTGTGAAACACCCACCCAAGCCCCTAACATCAACACGATATCAACTTCATTTACTCACTCAACACATGTCAGTAAGAGTCTAACCTATGCCAGACACTTTTCCAAATATGGGAATGCAGTTGGTGATATCCCTGCCCTCATATAACTTACAGCCCAGTGTGTGGGGGGCACAGAGCAACAAATGATGAAATAAATAAGTAGACATTTACAAATGGGGAGTACTCATATACCCTACAGTATTCAGTTCGAAGCTTAAATTCTATGCCTCCAACACCCCTGCCTTTCCCACGGAGAGTCCTATCCCCACAGAAATTAATTCCATATCTGCTTAAATTATTTTCCATTTTGGTCTTTAGTTGATGAGCCTTTTATTTTGGTCCATGATGGGAGATGATCCACCACCTTTTGGAGAATAATCCATCCCTTCTCACTGCCTTCTCTGCTTGCCTGGGACACTGAAAATGAGAATCCCATTTTTCTCTGCTTAGTTTTTGAGTTCTGCAGTAAAGCTCTGGAGGGTTTCCTGGTCCACAGCAGACAGGGTGCTGGGGAACACTGGGTTCGATGTATATTCCAGTGTGGGCAATTCTTGATTCACGGGTCCTGAGACATTTCCAAGAATTGTGCCCTTTTGTCATGTAAAACGCTTCAGTTTCTGAACCTGATGCATTAGTGGCATAATGTTTTTAAGAGCACATTGATGAATTCCATTAGCTTGTGTTTCCATTTCTTGGATGACAAAAGATGATTTGTCCCCAGTAGTTGAAATAGGCAGAATTATAATACTAATTTATTTAAATAAATGTGGTGTTTGGGGTAGATGTCACCCTGAAATTTAAAAAATTTTTTTTTCTCCCAAGATTTTATTTAAATTCCAGTTAATTAACATATAGTGTATTGTAAGTTTCAGGTATAGAATTTAGTGATTCATCACTTACATACCCAGTGCTCATCATAACAGGTGCCCTCCTTAATGCCCGTCACCCATTTAACCCACCTACAGTTACGAGTCTGTTTTCTGGTTTGCCTCTCCTTTCTTTGCCCCTTTGTTAATCTGTTTTGTTTATTAAATTCCACATATGAATGCAATCATATGATATTTGTCTTTCTCTGACTAACTTATTTCATTTAGCATAATACTCTCTAGCTCCATCCACAGTGTTGCAAATGGCAAGATTTCATCTTTTTTATGGCTGAATAATATTCCACTGTGTGTGTGTGTTATGTGTGTGTATATATGCATATACATACATATATGCATACATATATACATACATACACACACACACACACACACACCACACCTTCTTTATCCACCCATCTGTTGGTGGACATTTGGGCTTTTTTCATAATTTGGTTATTGTAAATAATGCTGCTATAAACATTGGAGTGCATTTATCCCTTTGAATTAGTATTTTTGTATTCTTTGGGTAAATACTTAGCAGTGCCATTGCGGGGTCATAGGGTAGTTCTATGTTTAACTTTTTGAGGAAAGTCCATACTGTTTTCCAGAGTGGCTGCACCGGTTTGCATTCCCACCAACAGTGTTAGAGGGTTTCCCTTTTTCTAGATCTTCACCAACATCTGCTGTTTCCTGAGTTGTTAATTTTAGCCATTCTGATCAGTGTGAGGTGATGTCTCACTGTGGTTTTGATTTGTATTTCCCTGATGATGTGTTATGTTGAATATCTTTTTGTGTCTGTGGGCCACCTGTATGTCTCCTATGGAAAAATGTCTATTCATGTCTTCTGCCCATTTTTTAATTGGATTATTCATTTTTGCAGTGGTGAGTTTTATAAGTTCTTTATAGATTTTGGATACTAACCCTTTAACAGATATGTTATTTGCAAATATCTTCTCCCATTCTGAAGGTTGCCTTTTAGTTTTATTGATTGTTTCCTTTACTGTACAGAAATTTTTTATCTTGACGAAGTCCCAATAGTTCATTTTTGCTCTTGCTTCCCTTGCCTCAGGAGACACATCTAGTAAGAAGTTGCTACAACTAATGGCAAAGAGATTGCTGCCTGTGTTCTCCAGGATTTTGGTGGTTTCCTGTCTCACTTTTAGGTCTTTCATCCATATTGAATTTATTTCTGTGTGTGGTGTTAAATTTTTTTTTTTAAAGATTTTACTTATTTATTTGAGAGAGAGAGAGAGAGAAGAGTGCACAAGTAGGAAGAAGGGCAGAGGGAGAAGCAGACTCTCTGCTGAGCAGGGAGCTGGATGTCAGAATCAGTCCCCGAACTCTGGGATCGTGACTGTAAGGGCCTGCCCCTCCCAGAGGAACTGGCTTGTGGACCCCGGATGTAGCAGCGGGTCAGGCCGGGTGGAGACGTCCAATCGGTGGGGCGTGCATATATCCACTGGGGTGAATTGGGATTCAATTGGCCGCCTGTGTAGGGGCGGGGCTCAACCACCCCCATAAAGGTTGGTCTGTGAGGCTGTGGAGAGAGCAGAAGGAGAGCTGTCAAAGGAAGAAGAAGAGCTGTAAGAGCTGTAACAGCTCTTGTCAGAGCTATAAGCGAAGCCAGTGGCCCTGATGCCGGCGGTCCTGAGCCGCCAGCGGCCCCGCCCACACACCGCGACCCTCAGCAGCGGCGCCACGGGGAACGGCCTAGACGGCAGCAACCTCGCCGCGAACCCTGAGTTGCTGCCTCGCCGGAGCTGCGTCATTCCGGGGAGCGGCTTCATCTGGGAAGAGGCCTCCTCGGTGAGAGAGGCTTCCTTCAGAGCGGCCCTGCCGGAGCAGCCTTGTCAGAGTGGCGTCATGGGGAGCAGAGTCTGTGTCATCGGTGTTGTCCTCCTTGTCATCGTCGCTGTTGTCATCGCCTCTTTGTCATTGGGAGTGGCTTCCTCCAGAGTGGCCCCTTCTTGGGAGCGGCTCCAACCGGGAAGTGGCCTCGTCGGTGAGTGGCCTCGTCCGGAGCGGTGGCCTCCTCTGGGGAGCAGCCTTGTCAGAGTGGCATCATGGGGAGCAGAGTCTGTGTCATCGGTGTTGTCGTCCTTGTCGTCGTCGCTGTCGTCATCGCCTCTTCGTCGTTGGGAGTGGCCTCGTCCTGGGAGCGGCTTCCTCCAGAGTGGCCTCTTCTTGGGAACGGCCCTGTCTGGGGAGCGACCTCACCAGCAGCGGCCTTCTTGGGAGTGGCCTCTTCTTGGGAGCGGCTCCAACCGGGGAGTGGCCTCATCTGTGGAGCAGCCTCGTCCGGAGCGGCCTTCTTGGGAGTGACCTTGTCGGAATCATCATCATCGTCTTTTCGTAAGAGACAGCCCTGACTGGTCAGTTTGATTTTTGATGCTTGGCATGAAATAAAGCTTTGTTTGATTTTCGCTTTATATCAGTCTCGTTCCTTTGATCACGGACCCTAACAGTGACCTGAGCTGAAGGCAGACGCTTAAATGACTGAGCCACCCAGGCACCCCCAATTTTTTTTAATATAAGAATTTGGGGCCTTACTGAAGTATACTTGGTCTATTTCACATGTAATGAGCTTGTGCATATGCATACACCTGTGATCACATTGCCACAACCAAGGTGCTACACCATGTTCATCACCTCCCTAGATTTCTGTGTGCTCGTTTGTGTCTGGGTGTTATTTTTTATTTTGCCTTGGTGAGAACCTTTAACATTAGATCTAGCCTCTTACCACAGTTTAAAGTACATAATACTGTATTGCTGGCTGTGTTGCACAACACAGCTCTAGAAATTACTCAGCATAACAGAAACTTCATTCCATCAAAAATCAATTCCTCATTTTTCCACCTTCCCCAACCCCATTCAAAATTTGGACCAGTCCTTTTTTTTTTTTTTTTTTTTAAATTTATTTATTTGACAGAGATCACAGAGAGGGGCGGGGGAGGAAGCAGGCTCCCTGCTGAGCAGAGAGCCCGATGTGGGGCTCTATCCCAGGACCCTGGGATCATGACCTGAGCCGAAGGCAGAGGCTTAACCCACTGAGCCACCCAGATGCCCCTGGACCAGTCCTTTTTATCTGTGGTGTTGAACAAGCCTATCCTTTATTCTAGAATCTAGGTCTTCCTTTAATAAGTGATCATCAGAGAGGACATCATTCTGTCTCCTCTGGCCATAATTACTGGTTCCAAATGATCTGCTCCTCCTTCTTCCTTTAGATCCCAAACTACTCTTATTTACCTTTTTAAAAAGTTTAATTCTCAATCTGGTCTATATTTTCTGTCTCTGGGAGACATATTTGGCATGTTTTTTGTTTTGTTTTCTTTTTATTTTTCTTGAACTGTTTGGCTTTCAGTTCTTTTGAGAGGTACTATTTTGAAATAATAACTATGTTCAGTTACCCCTAACATTCTCTGAATTTTTGAGACAAGAGCATTCTTAGGTACAGTTGGGGGATGGGCAATCAAGAGAAATTCAAGTTAGTACTTTTCTTTTGGGTTTTAAAGCTGAGGTTGAAACCTAAGTAATAAATAGATTTGGAAGACTGTTTGCTAAGCCTAGTTCCTTTCTCCATAGAAGGGAGAAAAATCCCCTGGTCTGAGGCAAATTGGATGGAA